GAGACACACAGTGGGGAAATGCAGCCAGCTCTGGGGGGCAGCAGAGGGCTGGGGGAAGACCACGAAGGGGAACTCCTGCCCCTCCCCAAGCAGGGATGTTTCCTGCAGGTCCCCGTGCCGGGAATTTCTAACAGCTGAGTAACACACATGCCATGGCCAGGGCCTCACAGCTTCCTGCCATTGTCAGTGCTTCCACGGCGCAACGCCCAGCTGGGGGGAGACCCGCTGATGTATGCACGGACACCGCGCCGTCCCTGTATGTCCTACCGCACAGACACACACACACACACACACACACACACACACACGTGAACAGACACCGCCCTGCCCCTGTATGTCCTACCACGCGCACCCACACACACACACACACACACACACACGTACGTGAACGGACACCGCCCTGTCCCTGCATAGCCTGTGTATCTGTGTGTCTGCCCTAACCGTGACCACTGCCAGGTGCCCCAGAGGGAGTGAACACAACACGGAATCGTCATGTGATTGTCACCCAATCCCAGTTTCTGACTAACAGCTAAGGACACCCTCCCTGCCCAGCCTGGCTAATAGCCCTTGAGGGAACTAACCTCCATGAATGTATCTAGCTCTTTTTTTGAACTCTCTTGGCCTTCACAGTATCCTGCAGCAAGGAGTTCCACAGGTTGGCTCTGCCGAGCAAGTGTTGCAAAGTGGGGTGGTTTTAGTTTTTGACGGGTCTGTGCATTTCATCACTTTCATTTCGCTCTTACTCTTCATTTTAATTCTTTGAGTAGCGAGTTCTAAAATGCCGAACCTGTTGTGGCTGGAGTCATGCGCCCGGGAATGCAGCCCCTGCGAAAGGCAGAGCAGGGGGTCTCCACGAGCTGTCCTGGCCTCTGGACACCGCCCCTGCAGCTCCCACACTAACCTCCATGAATGTATCTAGCTCTTTTTTTGAACTCTCTTGGCCTTCACAGTATCCTGCAGCAAGGAGTTCCACAGGTTGGCTCTGCCGAGCAAGTGTTGCAAAGTGGGGTGGTTTTAGTTTTTGACGGGTCTGTGCATTTCATCACTTTCATTTCGCTCTTACTCTTCATTTTAATTCTTTGAGTAGCGAGTTCTAAAATGCCGAACCTGTTGTGGCTGGAGTCATGCGCCCGGGAATGCAGCCCCTGCGAAAGGCAGAGCAGGGGGTCTCCACGAGCTGTCCTGGCCTCTGGACACCGCCCCTGCAGCTCCCACTGAACAGCAATGGAGAACTGTGGCCAGTGGAAGCTGTGGGTTAGTGCCTGGAGATGAGGCGGACCCACGCACACACCCAAGTGTGCATGGACACCAACCCGCCTCTGCACAGCCTACCGCACAAACACACACGTGCACAGACACTGCACCGCCCTGCACAGCCTACCACACAGACACACACACACACACACGTGCACAGACACCGCCCCGCCCCTGTATGTCCTACTGCACACACACACACACACACACACATGAACAGACACTGCACCGCCCTGCACAGCCTACCACACAGACACACACACACACACACACGTGAACAGACACCACCCCACTCCTGCATAGCCTACCGCACAGACACACACACACACACACACGTGTGCACCGACACCACTCATCCCGTGTATCCTACCACACAGACATACACACACACAGACACACTGCACGTCCTATCACACACACACACACAAACAGACACGACCCATCCCCTGTGTATCCTACCACACAGACATACACACACACACACACACACACAGAGAGACACACTGCATGTCCTATCTCACAGACACACTGCACGTCCTATCCCACATGCACACACGTGAACAGACACGACCCATCCCCTGTGTATCCTACCACACAGACACACCCACACACACACACAGACACACCCACACCTGTGCCTCCTACCACACCCACCCACACATCTTACCACATACACCCCCTTCACCCCCACACGTCCTACCACACCCTACCGCCCAGACACCCCCCTTGCTTCCACACTCCCCCCACACCTGCCCACACACAGACCCCCCCACACCTGTGCCTCCTACCACACCCACCCACACATCTTACCACATACACCCCCTTCACCCCCACACGTCCTACCACACCCTACCGCCCAGACACCCCCCTTGCTT